GCGGTTTCCTCTTCTTAGCGGACAGGGGTGCCTGTGCCCACTGCAGCCGCGGTTTCCTCTTCTTAGCGGACAGGGGTGCCTGTGCCCACTGCAGCCGCGGTTTCCTCTTCTTAGCTGACAGGGGTGCCTGTGCCCACTGCAGCCGCGGTTTCCTCTTCTTAGCTGACAGCGGAGCCTGTGCCCACTGCAGCCGCGGTTTCCTCTTCTTAGCGGACAGGGGAGCCTGTGCCCACTGCAGCCGCGGTTTCCTCTTCTTAGCGGACAGGGGACCCTGTGCCCACTGCAGCCGCGGTTTCCTCTTCTTAGCTGACAGGGGGCGGCTCAAGGTTTTCTGCTGCTGCAGCCCATCTGATACAAGGTCCAACATGTTGTGCATTCAGAGATGTTCCTCTGCAAACCTTGGTTGTAACGAGTGGTTATCTGAGTTACTGTTGTCTTTCTATCTGCTTGAACCAGTCTGGCCATTCTTCTCTGACCCCTACCATCAACAAGGCATTTCCACCCAGAGAACCCCCCCTCACTGGATGTTTCTTTTCCTTTCCAGCCCACTCTGTAAACCCTAGAGATGGTTGTGCGTGAAAATCCCAGTAGATCAGCAGTTTCTGGAATACTCATACCAGCCCAGCTGGCCACATTCAAAGTCACTTAAATTACTTTTTCTTCCCCATGCTAGCGTTTGATATGAACATTAACTCCTGAGTTGTATCTTATTAAAACAGGCTGAGCATGATTTTATATATTGTGATGCTGATATATGATTGGCTGATTAGATATTTGCTTCAGAGATCAGCTGAACTGGTATACCTAATAACAAGGAGAGTGAATGTAAAACAGCAGTGAGGTAGGCTTGTTTTAATAAGAAAAAAGCAGTGAGGTAGGCCTGTTTTCATGATGGAAAAAATAGCAGTGAGGTAGGCCTGTTTTAATAAAAAAAACAGCAGTGAGGTAGGCCTGTTTTAATAAGAAAAAAGCAGTGAGGTAGGCCTGTTTTCATGACAAAAAAAACAGCAGTGAGGTAGGCCTGTTTTAATTAAAAAAAACAGCAGTGAGGTAGTCCTGTTTTAATAAAAAAAAAAAACAGCAGTGAGGTAGGCCTGTTTTAATTTAAAAAACAGCAGTGAGGCAGGCCTGTTTTAATAAAAAAAAACAGCAATGAGGTAGGCCTCCTTTAATGATGGAAAAAAAACCTTACAGATGGATGACACTGAGTAAAGAATGGCTTTATGAGAACACCAGATTTAGTGCCAGCTATTACCAACACAAAATACCCTGGGGGTAACTTATGATATGACAATTAATGTGGAGAGCTCGTTATGAACACTGTATAATTGCAGAGAGCACACAAAGGCAGCAGAGGTTAGAGAGGCACAGTCATCAAGTGTTTATTGAAAAATCCCAGCATGGGCTTTGTGGTCACCCTTTCACGCTTAACGTTGTAGGAAATATCTACGGCCCACAGTCACGGTGTGCAGCTGGCATATAACAAAACAAAGGGAAAATCAAATGCTAAAAGTGATACATGGCGTCTCTAACAATTAACAGCAGTCAGGTGACACAGCTATTAGTAATGTGCATGAATAAAATGACGTCATGTGAACATTCATAGCGACCGTAGTTAGTACAGAAATTCAGCAGGCTCGCCGTCAGCTTGTATCCACCTCTTCATTTCCCTTTAATGAAGGTACATTAACAAGTATACAAATTAGCATTTAAGTTCATATCTAATTCTATGTTAAGCATTTGTAGAGCAATCTAAATATGCAATTTGTTTTTGCAGGACTTTGTATGGTCAGTCTGTGGTCCTCATTAAGAAACCTTACATCTTCTATTGTTTTGCAAAATAGACATATTTTAATTTGGAATATTCTGGTGATCGCACAGGTTTTTACAAATGCGATTTACTCCCTTTGTTGAATTTACGGGGATAACATAAATAAATAACAAGGGCAAACCAGGGAATATTGCATTTTTCTAAAATTAGTTTAAAGTTGCATGTATCACATTAAGATCAGTTTGCTCAAGTTTGCTATCACTGGTTGGCCAAATTATGTTTAGTACTCACTCATTAAAAAACAGAAACAAATTTAATACAACTAATGTTATACTACAAATAAAATTTTAAATCCTGACACCTAAGAAAGCATATGACCTTCCTGAATTTCACTTTAACATTTACATTCCATCTTTTGTAAACATTCACGAAGAATCAATTCTTGTTAAGTCAAGAAGTAATAAATTAAGTCAATGAATTAAAATCTGCCTTTTTTGGTAGCCTGTAGAATAACACAGGAGGTGAGGTGTTTCTGACGTCGGGTGGTGACAGGTTTGCTGGGAGAAGGTGTTCCTGTGACGATGCGTTAGACGATACACCTGCTTCTCAGACCCATGACCAGTAGCACAGGCGACAGTGAGATGCGTGGTCTTTAGCATAAGAAAGCCAGGTTTGGTGGAATCATTACTGTGCATCCTTTAAGAAAACATTACTTCCATTTATTGAAAAATTTTTCAGCAGCTCAGTCTGAGATCAGTAAAGCTCATTCAGCCATATAACGTGTTTCACTAGTAGGAACTTGTGGATAAGACATTGTATGCTGGTGCATGTTAAAAATGACTTTGTTTGTGTGGTTTTGCACTCGTACATACGAGCGTGACCGGCCAAATAATGCACAGTGAGACCACGATGAAACACGTCTGAAAGTGCGCACTCCGTCCTACCACAGATATGCCAAATTAAAGTCTGACGGACTGTCATTTTTTTTGTTCTTAAGTTTGTTCTCTCTTAACCACAATGAGCATAAATTCAATATGAATAATAAAAATGGTTGTTATGTGCACAACTTCTACAGGATTCTCTAACATTAGAATGGCTGTCGCTCTTTGTCTAGTGTGAATACGATATGCTCTTCTAGCCGAACGCGCCGATATGTGGTGACGAGTGACCCTAGGCGGTGGGCACAGGGTCCTCAGTCCGCTCGCGGTTTCCTGTGCTTCACACTGTCCGATGACGCCATGCCGTTCGAGTGCCCGTTCACGGGGGACGCCATGCCGTTCTGATACTCTTTTCTTTGAGAAGGATCCTGCTTCTTGTAGGTCTGGGGAAAAAGAGATGATGTCATGTCGGATTTTGTATTATTTTTTAATGTCATTTTTCTTTTTCTAGGTTTTTCTAAATGTAGCATTGCTGTGCACCATTTAAGTGCTCGGTCAACAAATCTACATTACCCATGGGGCAATGGTTGTTACGCATTTCCATTTCCATTCTGCAGTAATGGCTGATCAGACACATCCAAACTATTAAAACAGCAAAACACAGCTCACAGATTGGGAGCGCACAAATGTAAAACATATGAATTACGTAGGAGTTTACCTTCACATAAAAGTTCAGGAAAAGGATAATGAGGGTGACCATGTAGGATATCTGGAAGTAGAGCCAGCCATTCGGGAAGCCACAGGGCCAAACCACAGCACACGTCGTCTGAATGACAGTCAGAACGAACTGGATCTGTAATTGAGAGAAACAGGAAGGCATCACATGTCACACCCTATCATTTCATACTTTAGGTTTAATGCTCCTAAAAACATTATCGCCCTGGATGCCTCCCTCTACACTGACAAGGTAGCAGCATAATGATGTATGTGGAGAGTGCTTTGGTAAATAAGTGAGCATCACCTGTCCGAAACAGGTGAAGCTGATGGGCCAGGTGGCCGCATCGCGCCCCAGAAAACGGCTGTATCTGCGTATTGTGTGAGGTGCGTGTGCAGCACAGAGCGACCTTGAGGAAAGGCGGCTCGTTTATCATCTGCTTTGACATTAAGCACCGGGCTTGGAGACATCGCTCTGAAGTGGTGCTTCATTTAAGGCAGCCTTTGTGCTACTAACAGGGCAGAAAATCATCTATGTGCTTCATTTGGGCTTAGAACCAGCCAGCGGCTCTGAAACTGTCCTCCTGAAACACCTCTGGTTGTGATTTCCCTCCTTAAATGTCACACACACACGCACATGTCCAGACTCACAGCCTTTAAGTACACCATGCCACGCCCCCCCCCCCGCTTCCTGCACTCACGAGCTGCCCCTGCGTGATGTACTTCTTCCACCACAGGTAGGGCCGCATGGAGGGAATGGCGGACAGGCCGTAGTAGGAGTACATCAGCACGTGGATGAAGCTGTTCAGACAGGCGCCGAAGTATGCTGTGCAACCAAACACATCACTGTCATTTTTAGCCCCGATGGTAGTTAATCCCAACATGGTGATTCAGCACCATTCCAGGTATTTCTGGCTAAATGTAAAGCCCCAGATCCCTTAACGACACAGCAGTATCTAATGATATGCAGAAACTCGATCTCACAAAGCATTACAATGGATATAGGGGGGAGATCACATTGAATGGGACACTGTTAACCTTAAAGGTTCAAATGCATGCAGGACACAGGGCCAGTCAACAAATTAGGTGACATAGGAAGCTACTTAGGGTGGCATCTTCTGTGGGGGAGTTGACTTGGTTTCAGACAGGGGGCGGCAGCGGTAAAGCTCGCCTAGGGTGCCACACAGGCTTTGACTGGCATTGTGGACAATGGGGCATAAGCAGTGGAATCAATGTTTCTGGAATGGGGACTTTCAGCCATACTGTCCATCTCTGGCTACTACGGAGGACGATGAGGTCAGACAGCGTTTTACTCACAGTGTCCACAGGGCACCCAGTTCATAACAAACCACCAGATGTTGAGCATGGTGGCGTGATGGAACACGTGCAGGAACGTGATCTGGTGGTTGTTCTTCCTCAGGATGAAGAAGAATGTGTCCATGAATTCAATCAGCTTGGAGAAATAGTACCACCACAGGACGTTTATGATCTGCAGCGACAAACGGGGAAGACCGCAGGGCTCAGAACCATGGATCTGGATGTTTGGAGAAAGCCTAGAAAAACTATGCAGGAGAATGCAGTGTGTTTCTACTGTGCCCCGCAGTCCCTGAAAAACAACAGCATGTCGCATGCAGAGAAGAAACGCCCCCATGTGGCCTGACCATGCAGTGACCTTGATGGTAGTGTCAGACACACTGCCAGTGAAATCCGAGCATCTCTGCTCGATCACGACAAACAGGAGCAGTAAAATCGTCCATAAGGACCCAGTGGCGGCCATGATTAGCCCTGCGCGTCGGCCTCGGTGACCCCGTCGTACCTTGTCGTCGGCACTCCCACCGCTGCGGGTGTCCTGGCAGAAGAAGCTGTACCCCCCTTGCAGGACACCTGTGACAAGCTGCACGAAGAAGCCACTGGTTAGGCAGTGTACATGTGCCCAGTGGGTACATCCCTGCACACAGCCGCACACCCTTCATCACACATACACACGCACTGTTATATACGTGTCTGGGGGGGCACAAGCGGTTCTGCAGAGACACCGACTCAGCTGAATAAAACGATGGGGGAATTACCTTAAATGAGTCTATTGACACTTGCAGTTTCACAGGGAGACAGGAACAGGGTGACATTTGTACAGCCCCTGATATGACGCTGACTCCATTAAGGACATTAAATACATTTAAAAGCACGAGCACTGAAACTGTGGGTATTGAAGCCGCACCAAGCATCAGTTGTGATCAATTACGGTTCTGCCGAGAACACCAGCGATTTTATGCGTGGCTCGGAGACTATCACAGACGGTAAGACCTTTGTGTGAGGGAGTTCCATGGTTCTTTGGGATTTAAGCGTCAGGGAGAGAAGGCACGAGAAAGCGCTGAGTGCCATCAGACTTGCCGCTCCACATGCACGCCTACGGCGCGGTCCCCTGCTCGCTCGTCAGCGATCTGCGCCGCTTATCGCCCTTCCACAAACACGCCACTTATCGCACAACAATCCGGGCTTGTCGTCGCTCTTTGTTCATTGTCTCACAGCTGTGCATCGTGGCCCAAGTGCTGCGCCTCAGTGGATGCCTTGTGCATCTTTCCTTCAGATGTCCACGGAAGGGGGTCTGCCCCGTCTCAGTCTGTAAACCGGCCAGCCGTGATTCACCCGGCGTGACACGCCACGGCCAATCTGCAGGCGATTCTGTGAACCCCTCCAAGGTCACATCGCCTAAATGCTTCAGTTTTTATTCAGTACTTGAATTCCTTGGAGTCCCCAGAAATCGGCGGCTCTTACAGTGGGAGGTACGAACGGCAGCAGCAGCCAAACGGCTCTGTGTGACCTAAAGACTTCCTGGACTGCTGATCTCCTCATTCCACATTCTTCCTGGATTATTACTCAACTAAGGGAGGCAGGGAAAACTTCTGCAGCTGTTTGTGAGTCAATGTGAAAGCAATTCCTGCAAGGAGGAACATGCCAATGACTGAGAACCTCTTCTGAAGAGCATAAACATTACAGTAACTAATATTCCAGACTATCTACTTTTGAGAACATGAACAGAGCTGGACATTTCTGAAGCTTTAATGCCGGATTTATTGCGATTAAACGCCCTCTTCCTTTGATCACACACCGGCCTGTAGGTACCTGAACCGACGGCCATGTCTGTATCCGCTAGGCGTTCTCCCTCTTGCAAAGCCAATGGTGCCCGTTTCATCATGCCTGCTCCTACAACCAGGGGACCACATGACCTCCCCAGCTTTGCCCTGAGTCGTGACGGATGATTCCGGTCCAGCCCGATGTCCTTGAAAGGGTTCCTCTCACTGAGGTACGCCAGCTAAAATGCACGACCACTGCTGAGGAGTTCTGCTCAAATACCAGAGATAAAGACGCACAATCACCCACTCGAATGATGAATGACACACTCAATCCCTGGCCCTGCTCTGCCATAGCCCAGACCTGTGCCTCAGCTGCTGTGAATTATGGGATATGGCACATGAATATTCAGATTTCAGTGGCCATTCTGGAACATTAGGTTAAGGAATATCTAGAGAGTTAATGGTCTGATGCAAGAAGAAGAGAGTGCGGCATGACATCACTGCTCCACGCATAAAAGCACATTCCCTGCAGTGCCCAAGGGAATGAAGGAGTCACTGCGGTCTGGTGTCTGTACTGTACTTTTCTTTGCCTCATATGCTACAATCTTGTGTGTTAGCTGATAAAATATACTCAGATATGTTGATTTAATATTTGTCTCCACATACTTTTACCCTTGTTACAATACATTATTGGCCCTCAGTAAATTAGCAGAGACTCTTTAGTGTTCGTTATGTTTGTAATTATGCATTAATTATTACTATGTAAATGTCAAGCAAGGCAGTGGCTGGTCTGTGCAGGTACTGCAGAGCACCTTAATTACCCCTTTATGCCAATACGGTCTTCCAGAAAAGCCGTGTCCTTCACCTGCTCTGGAATCTGACCAGCAGACAGCACCTTCGATCAAAATCAGGCGACAGGATCAAGCGGACTTCTGTGGAGTCTATTCAAAACGCCATGACGCAATGCGGAATGAAGACAAGGTGTGTGTGTGTGTCCATGCGTGTGTATGCTTGTCCTACCTAGACAGGGAAAGACATAACCTTTAATCGCAGAGGTGTGCCACAGCAGTCTGTTAATGTGTGTGCGAGCCAGCGGGGATGGGGGCGGAGCCTAACGGCAGACGCTGTCAGCACAGGAGCCATGAGACGTCAGCTGACAAAGCACTGATTTTCCAAACTGTCGACTGCTGGGGTGGGGGTGGGGGTGGGGGGGCACAGGATGGGTACCTACCAGAAGCCGTGGGACATGTGCTTTTGGGGGGGTTGTTACTGAGATATTCCAGCAGCCTAATGAATGAACTTCTGCGTCTGATTACCTGCACAGATTCATGGTTCCCTAGATATGTACAGAGAAGAGGTCTGCGGAAATGCTCAGCACTGGAACAGTAATCACACAAACTGGAACATTCCAGAGTATTCAGTGACAGGGAGCCAGTGAAGGTGATTTAATTGTCCTTCATACCCACGAGGCTGCCCAAGTTTTATACAAATATTCAGTTGCATTAATGTTACGTTTATGTTAGATAAATCTGAAGGTCACAGAGTTCTAGGGCAACCAAAGTGACTGACTTGTTCAGCGGACTGTAACACAAACTGCAGGATGATTTTGGATCAGTTGGGCACCACAGTAAAACAAACAAACAAACAAACATAACCTGGATCCTTCTCAACAAACAGCTGGAGAATTACCTCTACCGACCAGAGCTCCTTCTGATTACACAGACACAGAGAGACATGCACATACTTGCTCATATCATAACTGTGGAAACATCTCTCCTGTTTATAATGTCTGTGTTAATCACCAGCGTTAGCAGCAGCCAAGCTTTATGCTTCTGCACCCGCAGCTCACTGGTGATACAGATGGTGCGACCTTTGGCTGTGTCCCGTATCGACGCGAATCATATGCAGATGACAGGCCTCTGAGCCTTGGGCCTCATCCACAGTCACGCAGATGCCCTCAATCTCTGCGTCCGACCGAGTGCCGGCTCCTGACGATGACCTTGGACCAGCCCATCCATCTGTCAGCTCGTAATATAATCTCCAGACAAACCCTCACCCACAGCGCGACTGCCCTCGGCGTGACCACCCAGACGGGCCCCCTCCCACCTCGTAGAACATGTAGAAGGACAGCAGGGTGAGGCCCAGGTTGTAGGCCACCATCACCCCACGGTAGGACAGTGGCTGCCGGTTCTTCATGTATCTCGGGCCGGTCCACACGATGAGAAGGTAGAGAAGCGTCAGCGAGAAGGTGGGGATGTAATGGTCCAGAAGCAGCCATCCTCGAACCCGTGGATCTGTAAAGAGGTGTGAGGAGCATTAGCTGACCACAGCGGGCATGAACATAATACAGCAGCAGGACACACATTCACCGGGGGACATGATGGAGGACATAGCACACCATGTTCCGAGGCAAACACCCAGAGGAACTCAGCATGAAACAGCACGGCGCTTACACTGCTTACAGTGTCAGAGAACATACAGTGTGCTGCCTTAGAGCGTTCAGCACGGCGCTTACACTGCTTACAGTGCCAGAGAACATACAGTGTGCTGCCTTAGAGCGTTCAGCACGGTGCTTACACTGCTTACAGTGCCAGAGAAAATACAGTGTGCTGCCTTAGAGCGTTCAGCACGGCGTTTACACTGCTTACAGTGCCAGAGAACATACAGTGTGCTGCCGTAGAGCTTTCAGCATGGCGCTTACACTGCTTACAGTGCCAGAGGACATACAGTGTGCTGCCGTAGAGCGCTCAGCGTGGTGCTTACACTGCTTACAGTGTCAGAGAACATACACGCAGAGAGCTGGTCATCAACGGAACTGCCAGTCCTGCCTTCTGACAGTGGTTAGTACAGTAGTTAAATACCACCAAGATCTAACAGCAGGACACTCAAAGGTCTTCAGCTGTGAAGATTCTCTCTGCTCCTCTGAACAATAAAGAACATGTTGCCCCACTGCAGTTTGACAGTCTCGTTCAGATTCACAAATAAGAACTGAAATCAGATGCATGTTTCCAAGACAACTAAATTGCTGAACAAAACAGATTTTATAACAATGAAAGGGACCACACCTAGCAAAAGCCTTCGAATGGATCTTTACGGGACAGTTATGTCACTGTTGGCTTCAGCTTGAGTTTCATTCTTTGCGCTCACTTCAAATCACATGATGTTGTGTATGTGCCATAGTTCAGGCTGATCTTCTCCCAGTGACTTACCTCTGGGACCCATCCATGAATCGATGTACAAGTTTAGCTTGTGGTTAAACGACTCCATTTCCAACCTGGTGGAAAAAAGAAACTTCCATTAGAGGTTTCTAAGAACAAGACCTCTTTCAAAAAAACTCACCCCAATCAATAATCAACCCCAAACTAGATGGGTTTATAACCTCAGCACAGTGCCGCTTTCAGCTTTCAAGGACGTAGAAATAGGAACAAGAAATGAACTAGCTAGAAATAAGCAAACCCCTGGGAGACATTTTAAGATTTGTTAAAATATTGGAAAACTCTTTGTTTTGCAGTAATAGTTTACAAATTCGAGTAAGAGACATCTAGCAGAAGTACTGCAGTTGTGGGCCAGACAAGACAGGCCTGGACTCTGAAGAAGTCAACCATTAGCTAAGTAAAGCAGATCATTATAAAATGAGGCAGAAGATATAATCAGATAAGCTGAGCCCCTGCCCACTCATCCAGACTCTCCTCAGTGCACCCAGTGTCCTAAAAACTCGCACTAAACGATGTCACGATTTCGTAATTCACAGCCGAGGCAGACTGTTCCCATTAAACCGCATGCCGGTTACTAATTTACACCAGAGAGCCGGCCAGCAGCTTTAGCGTACACCCACTGACAGGAAAAGGTGAAAATAAAAGGAGAGATATAAGATATTGCCCTCAAATGATAATAAACAGCATTTTTAACATGGGGGCGGGGTGTGCTGATCGTTCTGTCCAGGCACCATCCTGTCCCATGCTGCCGTCCGGGTGACGGCCACAGCGCATCGTGACAGATGGCCTTTCTGAGTCCCCTGGACATGGGAGTCGGGAGACCGCTGCGACACCGGAGTCACACACGGCACATGCCAGACCTTAACAAACAGCTTCAAATATTACCTATCGTCGCATTTGTTCTGCTGTTGTATTTAACTACTAGTCTATCTCGTGATCTACTGACGAAAGCTAATACTGATAACACATCGCGATCTGCCCAAAAGTAAAGCACAAAAAATAACCAAGAAAGCGGCACCAGCAACATTTCACTGCAGATAGTAGCCTACAACATTTGATAATGAACAGTGCTGTACAAATGGAATGTACTATTAATTACACGAGCGAGTGGCTGTAGTACACGGAGTCTGGGAGCATTAAAACGGCGCTGCCGTCCGACGAAAATGACACACAGCCTTGCCCTTCACTTTCTCTTTTAACACATCCATGAGTCCCAAGTAAACTAATACAACTTTACGGCATTTACAAAATGGCACACACGTTTTAATTCTACACAAAATCAGTAGGCTACTTCATTAATGGGGCTGCCCAACTTTTATGCAAATATTGAGTTGCATTAATATGTCATCAGATAAGTCTGGGGGTCACGGAGTTCTGGAACGTCTAAAGTAAATGCCATATTAATTGCAGGACGATTTCAGCTACTGACTAGTTATTTACTGCGCTGACACACCATGACAATGGTCATATCTTTCTAAATGACAGCAAATAATAGAGAAGTCTCTTTTTGTCGTCTAAGTAATTCAGTAGGCAGGGCAGCAGACCGGCATGGCATCTGACTATGCGACTGTAATACACATTCTTGGCTTATTGATGCCATCATTTGGCATCTTAGATTAAAGATTGAAAAGCATAAAGAGCCGCGTCCGCCCCGCGATGACCTGCCAAACTGCACTAAAACAGAAGAACAAATCCCCGGCCGTCACACGGTTCATAATAAGCAGAGTCCGTACAAAACTCCATCCCTTTGTATGTCGAGCCAAACTGACCTTGTTTTCTGTGCAAGTTTCCCCTTTACCGTTGCGATATCTCTCTGTTTCTAGTGCCCCTTGTGCCGGACTTCTGGACATCCGTTCACTTCAGAGGAAAAGTACAGCGACCAGGGAACAATAAGGCCAATAATGTGCCTGTCAACCGCACTGCTTTAAACGTCGGAGCGATCAGGCATACAGTACAAAGCACACCGACTTAAAGCCTCATCCGTACGCAACACAGATACTCCGCCAGCTTTCTGCATAAGCGGGAGCGGCCAGCAAAGCGGGACCCGCCGCTACCTCGCTAGCAGGTCCACTTCTAAGGGGGACTGAACATTTCAGCCGCATTTAACAAAATGCACATATACCTTGAGTTATCCGGGAAATCTTAGAGAAAACGAGTGCGGAGGGCGGAGACCCGTCTTGGCGTCCGTTTTCCGAGCTTTTCCTTGGGAAGGAAAGCTGTCGCCCCTTTACTCCGGCTTTACCCTGTGATGATGCCTCTCCAGCGGGGAAATGAGTCGCGGAAAGCGGCCGCCGCTATTAAATATATCAGCCCTGGCACTGCGCCCTGGAGCAGCGCACACACCTACCCACAGATCCCTCATTTAATACTGTATTTCTCAGCTTTTCTGCAAAGAGACGCAATGCCAAACCCCCAGCGCTTCCCGTAGCCAGCCTTGAGATGCGGGGCTGAGCCCAAGAGCCATTTTTGGGGGGCGAATTTCACGACGCCTCAGTAACTTACCTCTTCTCGCGTGTATGTGTATGTCTAAGTGCAGGTACTCATTATATACACTTATAAATACAGAGATATATAGAGACATACATGTATACATAAATATGTAGATATAAATGTTTCTGGCTCTCCTTTTGAAACTTCTGCTATTGTATCTATGTGCTTCTAATATCTATTTAATTTAACATCAGCTACTATTTAGTTTTAAAACAGAGACAGACATAGCGGATTACCCGTGCATACTCCCTATAGCCTACGCCGTGTTGCTTTCTAAGATGACAGTAAAAGTTTCATCCCAGACTGGGATCGCACCTCCCAGCCCCTAGTCCTAGCTACATTTTCCGTTCATTATTTTACATTTGAAGCCAATGTTGTACATTTAGCGGTTCTCTATTTCGGTTGCGATCGTTACAAAGTACCTTTGCGATGCCGCTGAACTTCACCCTTACCGGCTTGGATCTGATGTCAGGCGTTACACTGTAGACTGAAACCCCCCCCCCCTGCCGCCTGATCGCACTGTGTCACCCCATTGATGGGGCGTGTGCACAGACCAATCACGGCGCCGCGCCGCGCCGCCGGTGCTGGGTGTGGACGCGCGGCCCCCGGGGCGCCCAGCCCGTGTCCCGTGCTGCTCTGTATCGCTTTTGCTGCAGTTAAAATCTGGGACGCGACAAATGTTAGCACTGGATTTTCGGCTACGCATGTAGTTTTATATTTGTGATACGACCGATAGGGGAAAAGTCACTAAAGCGACGTAAGCCTATATTTAACATTAGCGGAGTTTACGGTGATTGCTGATTTCTAAATCTTAGAGATTACAAATGAGCTTTCTGATGTACGAACCCGAGTGCTTACTGTACACGGGTAGGCCTATATGTATGGGAAACACTGTAATATTAAAAATGCAATTTCCAAGTAGCTAATTAAGTGTGTACAAGAGATCTACTATCAACAGCTTTAGAGAATGTGAGAAATGACAACGTTAGTCAGCTCCTGCATGGTCAGCTGAGAATATTTCGATAACATGAAGCTTTATTTGGTGACTTTCTACTTGGGGCACGGAATCGGCGGAATTGAAATTCTCCTTTAAACGAAATCAAATCACCTTTAAGCAGCTTCACTGCAAGTGTTTATTGTGTTTTCCTTCTGGCTTGGCGGTAGTGGAGCATCAGAGCTGCTGAGTCACCGGACCTTTTTACCGAAGCCCTGCACTTGCTTCTGTATGGAGCTGGCTGTGCTTGCAAAGCAATTGATTGTAAATTTGTTACGAAATGCACCGTGAAAAGTGGCACTTAACGAGACCTGTTAATCGGCTCTCTCAGTGTAGCGATGTTATAAATTTTCCCTAATGGCCAGGCAAGCCGTTAGCTGTCTGCTTGCATGTACTAATGAACAAGTTAAAATGACAGCAGCATAGAGAACCAAGAATAGCACTAATGTGTGTGCGCTTCACGTGTCCACGTCCCGCAGGACTATAGGCACCACACGGGGTCGTTTGGGTCACACAGCCTTCCAAAACATCTCTACCGTCTGCAGGCTGCCAACTTCGCTGAGCTGGCAGGCGTGAGATTTTCCATTCGAAACAAGTCTGCGCAAGCATTTGCATGTATGAGACACTTTAATTTCCTCGTAAATAGTATGTAGGATTTGCAAACTACCCCAAGGCCTTTGGTGTAGCTAATATTAGGTTTCTGAGGTGAACGTGACATGACAGCACGAGAAAACCCGGCTCTGTCACTGCAGCGTACCTGTTACTCATGGCTTAAAACACAGATACATTGTGCTTTCAGGGAAAAAGCTGTTTGCCTTGAAAGTGGTTTCCGAATCAAGCAGGTGTCGCCTGCCTTAAACGCAGGTGTGTCTATATGTTACGTTAAACCGTCTCCTCATTAGGCCACTTAAAATTAATAAATTGTTTTACATGGCCGCCCGCCTCAATTTTTTGGTGCCACCTCGATTTTTTTTATATTTTATATTTTTCAAAAAATCCATTTTTTTCACCTCAAAAACTGTCAGAGATCGTCAATGTGCCAAATCCTGATATCCTGTGCACTGTAAGCAAGTAGTCTCTTGTAGGGTGGTCCAATAATAGTGACCCTCATGAAACAATGGAAGTGCTGTTGTTTTGCTATTGTCAGGAGGACGCTTTTATTGGGCCATTCTGTGGCAAGACCATTAAA